GCTTCTCGTCACTGGGTGTTTGGTTGGGTGGATTCTTGTTGCTGTGCTGGTGGTGGTGTGGCACGGAGTTGGTGGGGTGTGTGGTGTGGTGGTGTGGTGGCTTTCCTATGCCTCGCTGTCTGCTTTTGTCTCTCCTTTCTGCAAGGTCACAACTGGCGATGTTGACGATGCGCTACGTGTTGATTGTCTGTGTGCTCTGCGTGTGGTGTGCCTGCGGGTGTGCTGCAGCTCAAGGCGGTTCGGATCCTGATTGCAAGACTGCAGGCACGGAGCCCTGCCCATCTGCGGAAGGAAGTTTGTCTGAGAAGACTGTGACTACTAGACTTGGTGGAGCTGAGGGTCCTCTTGGTCGTGATAGGGACGGAGTTGAGGGAGGTAAAGGTAATCCTGGTTTAGAAGGAGCTGGGGCCCGTCGTGTACCGTGCTTGACAGAAAAAGGGGAAACACCATGCGTGGAAACGGTTGAGGCACAAGGCCGAAATCTCAAGGGTGCTGGTGGTTGCACGCAGTCTGAGGCAACGGCTGTATCGGGTGAAGAAAACGGATGTCCGTCTTCCCGGGAAGCTAGCCACAGTGAAGATCTTGCTCGCGTGGAGGGTGCGGATCTTCCTAATAATGATTCCTGTCAGAAGGATCCAGCGAATGCTGCTTCTTGCGTATCATCGCCTGTGTTGCCACCTCAGCCGCAGTGTGTGAAGCAAGGCAACGTTGTTTGTGACGCTACTGGTGGGGGAGCCGGGCAGAGAGCGCCTATAGGACCTTCTGGTCCACCCGGTCCTGCTGGCACTGCTGGACGAGTGAGTGCAGCTGGAGGTGAACAGATTAGCAGTGACGGAACAGCTGTTGATTTGAAAGACAGGCCCGCTAGGGACTGCAAGAGCGCTCTAAAGGACACTATTAATTGTCCAGTTACTCCCCTCTCACCGCAAGTGGAGCAGACCAAAGAATTGGTGACATTGACGAAGAGTGGTCCAGAGGACAAAGGGGACCCCAAAGGAGGTTCCGAGGTTAGGGAAGAGTTGTCAAAGAAACCTCACTCAGACACTCATGTTGATGTTGGCACTCGTCGCGCTGGCAGCGCGGGTGAAGATTGCGAGGATGGAGGACATAAAGAGCCAAGTGGGGTTTGCAGAAAGGGTGACAATGTCAAGGCCACTCACCACGATCACCAACAAAACGATGAACTCCGGCCCCAAATGCCGCAAACACCTGATGCAAAAGGAAACACCCCCGGCATCGTCGGTGAGAAGAATGACGGCAATGGTTCTGCTGCCTCACCTGCAGTAAACACACCTGAGGCTGAGAGTGCTGCTGTCGATCACCCCAATGAGGAGCCTGCTGAGAGTACTGCTCAGGCTGCAGTCGAACAAAGTGATGCCGCGCAATCGCAGACATCTTCCGCCTCTACTTCCACAAGTGCCACAGACACTGCAGGCCGCAGCCAGCCGGGCAGCAGCAGTCCGTCGACCGACAAGGGCCAAGACCCGAAGGCTGCGGACAGCAGCAGCGGAGGTGCAAGCCGCCGCACAGGACCGCTGATGCTGTTTGTGATGTGGCTGGGTGGTCTGGCTGTGACTGCTGCGTGCTGAGCCCCGCCATTGGGGACGCGG